AGCATTGACCTATGAACCAGGAGGTTATGGTTCAATTCCCGGCCAGGGCACATGGCCAGATTATGAGCATGATCCCCAGTGTGGGGTATGCAGGAGGCAGCCAATCAATGATTCTCTTTCATCATTGATGTTTCTATCTCTCTCTCCCTCTCCCTTTCTCTCTGAAATAAATAAAATTATTTTTTAATTGTTAAAGCAATAAGTTTTAAAAAATGATGGGGAAATGAAATTGTGTTGTAATGTGAAGATAGAACAGAAAATATGAAATGTTTCTCCTCTTTCCAAAGCCTTACTCAATCAAAGCACACCAAAAAAAATAGTACTCATTTCCTATTTATGGAACTGATTGGGGACTTTGGGCATGTGCATACTGGCCAGACTTCCCATACAGTAGGATACAAGACTTCAAGCATGTTCCAGACTTGCTTGCTAACAGTTCAGTAACCCAGAAGGTCAAGAGAGTGACTCAGGACTTTGTTTTTCTGTACTCGTGTCTAACCAACAAAGACAAATTGGTTATGGAATGAAAAGTGTCAGGAACTTGGAAGAAAGAGTACATGTCAGTGTCATGTTTGTGAGAGCCAGGGAGAGTTAAGCATAATCAGACATGATTATGAGACAAGATTACAGAGAACGGATTTTAAGAGATGTGTGGTAGAGGAGGTGGTGTTGGGAAATGGCCCAATTTCATGCATCAACTGTGGAAAGGAAGATGATGCTAATGAGAATTAGAAAGTTCTCTCAAATGACTTAGTGGGGAAGAGAAGGTAGTAAGTAGAATAAACCATAGCAGCTACTCAGGATTCCCTTTGATGTAACACACTTTAAACTATCTTTAAAGTTTAAAGATATATATTAGTGGCCATCTTTGCAGGATGAAGTGACGCAGGGGAGCATGGATAAGCTTCTGAGATGCTGGCAATGTTGGGTGTTTAGATCTAGTTGCTGGCCATCAATGTGCATTTACTTATGAGAATTTAGCAAATTGTGTTTAAGATCATTATAACCATCTACATACATGTTATACTTCAAACTGATTGTGCGACAATTTTTAAGATTTAGTATATTTCCTTCAGAACTTATTTTTCAATGCTTATGTCTGCCTGTTGTTGTAATAAAAATTGTACTTTTCTTTATTCATTAATTTCCTTATGTGTACTATCCCATAGTAATTGCATAGCCCTATAATCATTTTTGTTAACAGCTTGGTAATACTCCACTGTGTGGGTAGGCCACAAATTCCTTTATCATGTCTGTAGGGCTAGATAGATGTGGTGCTCTTCATTGTCACGTTTATAAAAACACCAAACACCAGAACCTGCCCTGACCGGTTTGGCTCAGTGGATAGAGTGTTGGCCTGGGGACTGAAAGGTCCCGGGTTCGATTCCGGTCAAGGGCATGTACCTTGGTTGTGGGCACATCTCCAGTAGGGGGTGTGCAAGAGGCAGCTGGTCGATGTTTCTCTCTCATCGATGTTTCTAACTCTTATCCTTCTCCCTTCCTCTCTGTAAAAATCAATAAAATACATTTTTAAAAAATAAAATTAAATTAAAAAAATAAAAACACCAGAACCAACATCTTTGAATATAAAGGTTCACCATCCTACATTGAAGGTGATGCACTGAGAATAGATTCTTAGAGGTAAAGAGATTAGATTGATTCTCTTTAAAGTCTAGATATCTAGTTACAAATTCCCCCCAACAGTGTTGGCTCATCAAACCCTTGCCCACAGCTATATTCAACAATCATGCACAGAATTGGCAAGTTTTCTGATGTAGTATTTACAAAATCTTTTTTCTTTGTCTTAACATGAAGTGGGAGGTCCTGCTGACCATTTCTGGTCTCTTAGCACCTCCCCCATGAGACTCAGCTTCTCAGTGATGATCACTGTGGTACATGACGATTAGCCGATATTCTTCAGTTCTCGGCAGTTGTATTTTCCTTAACTATCTCAGGCTTCAGTTCACTGACCTTTTAACCAAAGAACAAAAATGGAAGCCAAGAAGATGTGAAGAAGTTTGCTTTTTCTCCAAGCATGAAAACAACAACAAAAAAACTAGTTTGATCACCTTTTTCATCATTTTTAAGTTTTAACTCATTTGTGACATAAGCTTTTTTGGCATCCTATGTAGAGAGTTCTACTCTATTTCTATCTTTTTATCAGTCATTCTCCCTTTTTTCCATATTCTGAATGTGTTTATTAAAAAATTTTTTCTTGAAATATAGCATACTTCAAATATCATGTGAACACCTCAAATGAATACTTCATATTTTTTTCACAAATCTGCATTTTTCATTTTATAAAGTAAAACAATTATTTATTTTAAAAAGGAACACTTTCAGTATAAGAACAGAGAGGAAAGAAAACACTTGTCCCAAAGAACAAGTCATGTCAACCCAACCTTCTTTCTTTAAGAGAGTTCTTGGGCTGATAGATTAGAGAAATACATTAGACAGAGAATCAGTCTCTGAAGTAAATTTGACCCTATTCCCAAGTTATTTTGTGGGAAAATGTAGCACTAACACCTGAGTGACAAAGCACTTGGGGAGATGAGTAACTAGTTCGATACTGATGAACAGATGAATGCCAACCTGGAAGAAGTATTCTAGTGCATGCCACAGAGCTCTACCATTGGCCTTTTACAGGTTCCTACTTAATTAGTTATCTGGATGAAGTTCGAGAAAAAGTAGGCCTAAAAACTTGCAGATAGTGGAGAATATGGTGATAGGTTGTAGTAATCAGATGAGTCAAGGAAGATGGAAGGTAATAGTGTGTGTGACTGTACTTGAATTTCAGAAATACAACCACATCTGTAGATGTAGACGCAGGTAGATATATTTTGGTTGGAGGAGGGGGAGGAAGAATTGCAGGTTGTTGGCAAATTTATTGTGATCAATGATAAATTAGGATGTTGCTATGCTAATAGAAGCCCTGTATAAGTAAGGAAAATAGAAAAAAAAAAGTCACTAGCTATGTGATCATATGTTGACAAGACCACATGGAGATTGTTGCTTCCTTTTATAGTCCTTTCTCACTAAGAGGGACAACTGGAGGATGTCCTAGGATGAGTGGCTAGGATGATTCAAAGGCCTTAGATTCTTATCATATGAGAAATTGTTGAGGAACAAGAATGTTAATGAACTGAAAGCCATCTTACAATATACAGACATCTTTCCTATGCAAACAAGAGCAGACTGTCTATGGTTTAGGGCAGCGGTCGCCAACCTTTCGGACCTCATGGACCACCAGTGGTTCGCAGACCACCAGTGGTTTGCGGACCACCGGTTGGCGACCGCTGCTTTAGGGAACAGAATCAAGACCATTGAGGAGTCATACCTGAGTTTAATAGAAATAAAAATTTCTAGCATTCAGAAGTGTGCATAGATAAAATAGACTCTGCTGTAGACATTAGCATTTCTTCTCTATTTCTGAGTGCATGGGTGACTCCAGTAACCTCGCTAAAGTTAGGCATGGCCACATGACTGGTTCTAGCCAAGGAAACCCGAGTCAAAACTAAAGTGTTGCTTCTGATACAAAGTGTTGTATATAAATCAAGACTCTTCAGCCTTCTCTTCTCCTGCCTCAGTGAACACTGAAGCCTTGTGTTGAAGTGCAGGTGCCACTCAGCCTTTGTCTCTGAGTGATTACAATGATGAGAATCTCCCCAAACCACCATACTGCCCTCCCAGACCCAGCCACACACCTACATTGGACATGTAACTTGAGTGGAAAATAAGCCTTTGCTGGTTCTAGCCACTGCAGTTCATGGGTTTTGTTATATTTGCATAACCTTTTCTATCCTAACTAACACAAGTGCCTTCAAAATGCAATTGTTCCTATGAGTAAGCATTAGCAAGGCAACATTGTGTTCCTGAGACACACACACATTGCATTCTTTGTCTTTTATTTTTATTGCTACACTACATTCAGACTGTTGCCGGGGGCGTAACTTAGTGAACTGGAATTTTCAGATTGTTCCAGGACTTCCTGGGAGATGATCCTGATAAAATAGGCTAAGCTCATTATCTTCTGTAACTCAACTTCATGCCCAGCAACCCCAAAAATTTATGGATCCTGTCCACAGGGGACCAGCCAACAATGATTAGATAGTTCACTCTGCAAAGATTCTATTGCCACATAAATACACACATACAACATTATCTATGAAAACTGTGGTCTACCAGAGATCTCAGGGCCAAAGTAACTTTTTGAACATGAACTTCTCAGTTTGAATCTTAAACCTTCTTATTGGCAGGCTATTGCCACATGTCTGTTTCATTCTGTGCGTATAGATGCATTATTTACCTACTAGAGGCCCGATGCACGAATTCGTGCACAGGTGGGGTCCCTTGGCCTGGCCAGCGATTGGGGCTGATCGGGGCCATTTCACCCAGTCCCAATTGGGGCCAATTAGAGCCAGCTAGGGGGAGGGACCTCAGGAGGTTGGCTGGAGGTTGGTGGACCATGGGAGGTTGGCTGTGGGAGCGCACTGACCACTAGGGGGCAGCTCCTGCATCGAGCTTCACAGCTACCAGCCAGTCGTCCTGTCATAATGGTCACTTAGGCTTTTATATATAGAAAACAAAGTTTCCCAAGGATGCCCTTGGTTCCATCTACAAACCCATGGGTTCTCTCAGGAACCCATGCAGCTAAATAAAGCACACAGCATGCCATCATGTGTCCACTTAATGTTGTTGTTAAAGTTGTTCTCTGGTGGGCAATATCTGATATGTTTATACAGTGGTTTTGTCTGGGGAAGAAGCTTATGAGGTGATGTGAACCAGGAAGTGAAAGGAACAAAGTGTGTGCCTAGACTGAAAAGAAATGAAGAAACAGAATTAAAAAGTGATTCCAATGGGGGGAAAATGGAAAGGACACATTTAAAATTATAATTAAAAATACAAACTAATGCATATATATGCAAATATATATATTTTTCTTTATATAGCAAACCAAACCCACAACTAATTAACTAGAGCCTTACTTTTGTTGTTCACAGGAGACCAAAATCAACTGTGTTCGTCTGGCTACGAAAGGTATGTTGGCATGTTCTTGTCTGTCTTCAGCCATTCTTTAGTCACTTAAGTATTCCTCCCTCTAGCCACACAGGGAGAGTTTAGGCAACAATAACAAGAAAGAATTGTTATTTTTAGTGGAATCATTTGCATCTAGGCATTAATGTATACCTGACTGTGTATATATTAATAACACAGTGCCTAAATCATAGCAAGAGCTCAGAACATATTTGCTGAATCAATGGATGGATGAACTGGTACAATAATCAGTGGGTAATATAAATTTACTCAAATATTCTTCTGCTATATATTCTTGAATTTAGATCTTTGTTTATGTTGAAATTTTTAAGCATGTCTATTAAACCTATTTTATGGGTTTTGTACTTTATTCAATTGGCACATGGCTTTCAAAAATGAGGTGATTACTGTTGATGCCTTTAATAATGAGAAAAGAAACATGGCTTTGTTTTGTAGTTGGCATTTTCAACACTTCCTCCAAAAACTAAGGCAACATTGTTCAGGCTCATCACTTTTTGTTTTCCTAATTGTAATTGAATTGTCTGGCTCTTTCAATTGGTACATGTTTCTGTTTATTACTCTTTTTAAAAAATCAATGAATAGTTTGTTATCATTTAACCTATTACAGGGTTGAATGGTTAGATATCAGGTTTATCTTTTTGTTATAGAATTGCTATTTTTAACAGCTATCCTTCCCATATAAACACACCAAAATTGGGCAGTTCTATTTTGTTCCTTGCTTTTATTGACAGCATATACAGTTTTATAGGTTGCTTCCTTGGAAATGACCATTATAAATATAAGTATAAATATAGTCATAGATATAAAGTATAGATAAAAACAATGACCCAACTACATATATATATATAATATATTTGTTTATGTTGAAATTTTTAAGCATGTCTATTAAACCTATTTTATGGGTTTTGTACTTTATTCAATTGGCACATGGCTTTCAAAAATGAGGTGATTACTGTTGATGCCTTTAATAATGAGAAAAGAAACATGGCTTTGTTTTGTAGTTGGCATAACCCTGTTATGTTATATATTATATATATACATATGAATATATAGACACATGCACACATATAGAGAAAATGTACAGATATATGGGGGAGGGGAGACAGATTGAGACAGAGAGAAACTAAAAGAAAGAGAGAGGGGGAGGGAGGGCAGCAGGGAGGAGGAGAGAGAAGAAAAGAATATCTATGGTTATTTGGCAAACATGTGCCAAGACCAGCCAAACACAGCTTTTACAACCTTGAAGAAAATAAGATCAATTTGTAGGCAGAACAGAGAAGATGCAAGAGGAAGGAGAAGGCAGGGCACTAAGGGCTCATTGTAACAAGAACTCCTCCTGATTTCACAGAAGTCATGAGGGGTCGGCATGTCCCTAACTTATTCCCTCTAGGGAACTCAGGCTCCTAGACAGAAAGAAATAAAATACCCTTTGTGAGGAGGCCAGGAGAACTGATGGCCTGCAAGCAAAAGTGACACAAATCACAGTCTTGCAGACTTTTCCCCTGAAGAAAACAGATCACCTGGAAGAGGGACACCATCCATTGGGTAGCTCTAGAGCTCCAGGCGGCAAGCAGGGCACCTGGTGGTGTCCGGCTTACACAGGCAGCCAGGAGAGGGAAGCAACTTACATAGAAACCCTCCCTGTGATGTTGCTCCATGCTTCCCCTCTAGCTTTTGATTTCTAGACAAGGGAGGGTTGATGTGGTCGTTCTGCCCACCATGGGGTATGTGGGCATCTAAGGATACCCTCTGAGACATAGGCCACCTAACAAGTAGTTTGTTGGATCATATCTTAAGAATTGGGAACATGTGACTGGACAAGCAGTAGGTATATATGGGGACTCTGAGAGTGCGTACCACTATGCTTCCTGGGACGTTGAGGACCCACTGTGCGCGCACAGAGGCCCACCCTGGCATGCTGCTGCTGAGCCACCTTGCTGGTCTGCGGGAGAACTGAGTGGTCCTTATAGAACTGCAGCAGAAAGCTCTCACCTCTCCTCAGCACCCTTAGGTTTTCTCCTCCTGTTTGACCTTATAGATCACAGTCAACCTTATTGGAATGTGTGCACCTAGAAGGTCTGGAGGGATAGCAACACATGAATGAATGATATGTGCCCAGCTGGCCACACCCTGGAAGAGCTTGGAGGAGTCGGGAGTCAGAGTGGCTCTGAGCAGCCACACTGGGGTTTTCAGTTCACTGAGGGCTGTCACTGTGGCCCCGAGAGCAGGGCTCCAGCAGCACATGGGAACGGGGCAGGGAGCTGGATGATGTAGAATGCCCTCCACCACGGCTCAGGGAGGGATACCGCACAGCACCTATCAGATAAGAGGGCACTTGGTGACTGCAGAGCAAAGACAAGGGAAGGGAACCTGCGTTTGGTTAGTGTCTCTCTGGGCATGGCATTGCTAATGGAGCATCCTGGTTGATTAATGGCAAACCCCATCTAAATCCATGCACTGCCCATGGGGCCTCTGTATCAGGATCGAAGGCTAGGAATCAATATCTAACCTGTCTCTTTCCTAAATCAAATTTCCCTCTTTGTGGGTTTGCTGAAAACACTATTCTTTTTAATAGAGGAAAATACTATACCGGGAATCCCTCAGGCGCCGGGAGTATGGGAAGTCCCAGAGGCAGATTCCACGGGCCAACTGTTTCCTCCAGGCTCCTCCACCTCTGGCATTACGGCACCTTCCTCAAGTGTCTGCCAGCGGCTTCCAGCCCCTGGCGCGTGAGCTTCTGTGCAGGCTCGAGGCCAGGGCTCTGGTGAGAAAGCAGCTGCCTGTGTCCTGTCCCTGCCCGTGGTGACACCAGGCAGTGTGTGTGGTTAGTCGTGTGAGTCTCGCAGAACTGGAGGGCTGCCACTCCGAACGGAACAGCTCCGGACACACACGCAGGGTCATGCTGACCTGACCCCAGGCTCCGCGCATCTTCTGTGAGATGCCACACCTTGTCTGTGTGTCACGTCACTGTGTGTCTCTCGAATGGAGTGCTGCCCGGTTTGGAGGGTTGCCAAGAAAAGGACCTGCATTGGTTTTCTGTGGCTGCTGTACCAAAGGCGCACAGATTGAGTGGCTTAAACAACAAAATGTACTGTCTCACAGTTCTGGAGGCTACAAGTCCGCCATCAAGCGCTGGCAGGGTTGGTTCCTCCTTAGGGCTGTGAGGGCAGGATCAGCTCCAGGCCTCTCCCCGGCTTCTGGTCGTTTGCTGGCAATCTTTGGGGTTCCTTGGCTTGTAGAAGGACCACTCCTTAGATGCCCACATACCCCATGGTGGGCAGAACGACCACATCAACCCTCCCTGTGTGCATCTCTGTGTCCAAATTTCTCTGTACAAGAACACTGGTCATATTGAAATTAGGGACCCATCCGACTCCAGTATGTCCTTCTCCTATCTAATTACATCTGCAAGGGCCCTATTACCAAATAAGGTCACATTCTGAGGTACTGGGGGTTAGGACTTTAACATTTGAATTTAGCGGGGAGTCACTGTTCAACTCCAAATAGGAAGCATGCAGTTAGGGGCGTGTCCATGTGGTTCCCAACAGAGCCTCTGACTATTCGCCATCCACAGTGCGATCCCATAGCTTTCAAGGGTGCAAAGAACAAGAACCAGCCCTGCCAGGGTCTGGGGCATTAGAGGTCCAGCTTTGGCTGCTAATCCCTTCAAAGGTGAGTGAGATGAGGCTGCCTCAGGCAGAGGACCCCAGTCTGTAGCAGCAGGACCCGCCTAGGACCGGTCATGATGACGATGGAGCATCAGGTGCTGATCCAATCATGGTCTGGGGCCTGAACAGGCTGGGCTTCCTGGGGAAGGAACCAGCACTTCCCTTTGGGAGGAGCTCTGAGAAGGAGCTCCTCCATGTTAACCACTCATTTGCCAATCAGGTGTTGCCACGGCAGGAAGTTCCTGGCGCACGTAGGCACTCGAAAAACACCTGCTGAAATGAGTAAAGGCATTGGAGTCAGCATCTCACCGCAGCAAGGCTCAGAGGCCTTGGGGGTCTCCCTGGATCTTCCTGAAACTCAGCCGCATCCCATGTAAAGCGATCCCCATCTACCCGTTCACAGCACCTTTTGAACATACCTACTGCCAGTGGTTTGCTGATAGACCTGCTCTGTGTCAAAGAAAAGCCCTCATTTGTTGTCTTTGTGGATATTCAGGTGTAAATATCCCCTCCAGGTCCAGTTTCACATTGCCAATGGTTTAACAACTGGCTGGCAAAAAAGAAAAAAAAAAGAAATCTTGAATGTTGAACAACCAGCTCTAGACAACTGGTACAAGCCAGCTCCAGCATGCCAACACCTCTCCCACCGTTTCTTTGATATGATGATATGATATGATAAACTTAAAAGTGTTTTATTTACTGCAAAGTATTTTGGAATTTTTTTTTAATTATTATTATCCATGACTGTGATTTCCTCCATGGAGTCAGCTCACTCGATGAGCATGCATGAGCCAGGCATCTTGAAAGGAACTTGGGATTTTGTGGTGAGCCAGCAGGCATGGTTCCTGTCCCCAGCAGGCTCAGTAGTGTGGACACAGACATTATATGGATGCTTTTACAGATAATTGTGACCAGTGCTTCCAAAGAGAATCGGGACTGAAGTTGCCCCATGTAGTCATGGCATGCGTGCCCCGGACCATCATCTCGGGCTCTGCTCCTCGGGACTGTTGCCGTGTAGGAGGCTTTTGCCTCCCTGTCCCAGCACCACGCCTTCTCCACTAGCACTGGGATTGTGTGGTACCCAGAGCAAGGGTGGGATCTGGGAGGCCAGCTGACTCAAACCTCAAACTGTGAGGGGATCCACCCTCCTGGCCCACCTCTTCCCCGCCCCCACAGGAAGAGCCAAGTGCCCTGTGTTTAGAGAGGATCCAGCTGGTGGATCCACATGTCACCGGGGGCAACTTTTATTTATAGAGGCAGATCAGAACCTTAAGTTGAAGACGCAGCTAAGGGACTATGGGGTGGGTGTGTTTG